CAGTGAGGAAGCTTTTCCTGATGTCCAGCCTGACAAGTTAGATTTGGAAAAGTGACCATCTTTAGATTTTATCCACAGCACTTGAGTTTTCTATCAAGACACATTCAGGCTAGTGCGTCCCAAGCAGCCTACTTCTTCCCTGGCACGTGTCACCCTGTCTTGAGTCCAATGAATTCCTTTCAGTCAGTCTTTCACCCCACTGGGTGGCAATGGACTGGATATTCCTCCTCAAATTAACAGAAAGGGCTGGGCACAACAAGACACGCACCATAAACTCAGATATTTAGAATCCTCCTGATGGAGATGAATTATGACTGATAAGTGATTAAAAGACAATTAGCTGCATGAGGAAAGTACTTCAGGAACTGGGAAAGAGCTGCATGAACAGGCACTTGCCCTGACCTCCAGCATCCTAAGCTCCTGTCAATTCTTGTTTGAAACAAGAGCCGTAGTCTCATCCAATATCCATCTAACCTTTCCACTCTACGTTGCTTGGTTTCCTTGGCAACCATTTAAAAGTCCTGGAAAAAAGGCACAGCTGCCTCTCTGTAAAAAAAAGGAAAGAGAGGTAGAGAGGCAGGGATAGAGACAGAGACGCTCAGAGACTGGCAACACGCTCTTTCAAGAATCTCTCTCCCCCGCTCTTTCTTCTACAGGTGCTTCCCCATTCCACAGCTCCAGGCTGGTTTCAAGTGGTTTAGAGCCTATAAAATCTCACCCTGAGTGCACAGAGAATTAAGGGGGTAATTAGATGGGTGTTACCAGGACGTGAGAGAGCAGATTCGTTGGGCTACAGGTAGTGCTTGGAGGCCACTGAAGGAATGTTGTATAGCGCACAATATATCATGCAGCTTCAAAGAGCAATGCGAGGATGAAAAAGCAATAAACCAGCGTTCCGGTCACACCGTCAGGGATTGCAGCTTTACGGGATGCTATTCAAGGGAGGGGGCAGGTTTTTGTGCTTTCACTCTGACAGAGGTTCTTGGCTTGTCAACACTCTCACTGGCATAACTACCCTCCCACACCTTCTACTGACCTGAAGACCGTGGTCCATCCAGCTCAGTGCTGCCTACATAGACCAGCAGTGGCTGCCCAAAATCTGAGTCACAGGTAGGTATCCAAGATGGAACCTGGGATCTTTTCCATGAAGGCCATATGCTCTACCACTGAGCTGTCTTTCAGGAGCAGAGCTGAGGGAGGATGGGGCTGGGGACGGGGATGGGACTACTTTCTTGGTGTGCCTAATAGTTAATGTTGGTATGCATTTTAACTGAAGTTAGTTTTCATTTTCATTTTATTCATTTATAAAAATAAGTATAGTCGTCCCTTCCTCCAGGGAGCTCAGTGCATGACCATGTTCCCCACACTTACTTTCCCAATGACCCTGAGAGGCTGACAGAGGTGACTGGTCCAATGTCATACCAGAGAGCATAATCGTTGATTGGAGAGCTGGGTCCCTTTAGCAACACCACTGGACTCCAGCTGCTACTGTGTTCTCCACTCTCAGGGTTGCCACACATGCACTTAGTTTCTGTGCTGGCTCCAGGATTTTTTTTTGGGGGGGGGAGGGTGGAAGGCACCTCCAACGGGATCTTGACTTGGAAGAGGTGGTACTGAGACGGGACCGCAAACCAAGAATTTCATCAGGTGCAGTATGATCTTCTTGGATCTTCTGCAGCACCAATGGGACAGTCCTTGGCCTGGCAAATGCCCTACCTTGCCAGTCTTTGGAGTTTGCCCCGTTTTAATTTCTATTAGGTGAATAATGACTATGAGGACTCAGCTAGGCACAAAGAAGAACTGGCCTCCAGCGCCTTTAGTAACCAACAGGGAGAATGTGTGTGTGTGAACTTAAGTGGACTCAGGGGGATGGTGGAGGACAGGAAAGCCTGGAGGAATGTTGTCCATGGGGTCATGATGGGTCGGACATGACTTCGCGACTAACAACAACAATGATTCTCTCATCCTTCCATGACAACTTATTCCATCCCTGAATCAAGTAAATATATGGGGCATGATCCAGAACGTGCCTAGCTCCCTTTCCCACCACCCCCACACCATAATCACAGTGAATCCAGCCTAAAGGTTCTAGCCTTGCTGGGGCTTTGCATATTCATAATCGATTAATCAGCAATGGCCATTTAATTGGTGGGGCTGTAACTTCAGCATATGTGTATACATCTTCAATGACACATTTGTTGTTCTGGTCCATTGCTCTGAGGAAGGATGTACGAGAAATCCAATAGGAAGATGAAATCTGATGGATTTTCATGATTCAGCCCTGTGCTGATGCCAGTTCACTATGATGTGAGCTGAATCAAGTTGTGGACTTCTGTCTCTAAGACAGGATACAATTTGTGCAGGAGGAGGAGGAGGAGGAGGATGAAGACAAAGTTTGTGCACTATTAGGCAAATCGTATAAATCATAATGAAAAGCACATTGGCCAATTCTTTTGCAAGCTGCACTAGATACACGTGTTTTTAGATTTCAGATTGAACTGGGATCTATACAGAAGTTTAACTCTGACATGGCCCACTGGTTCCCAGACTAGGTTTTCGCAACAATCACCCATTTTCACCCTAGACAGGCAGCACAGTCAGCTTCTGCTTTGTAACTACAGAGCAGCATGCAATTTGCCAACAAGAGAGGTGAGAAGTGATGAATGACCTTGAGCGTGAGGTCCAGCAGAGGGCAGGGCCCATTCCAAGGACTGTCCATGTCATCTGTTAATTCACTGGTTTCCGAGTGAACCAGGTGACAGCAGGCGGTGCTAATTCGCATGCTACACAGCTTCCAACAAAGCCTGAACGCAGGGAGGGTTGCCTTGGCATGTCTCACTTCTGATGGCTGCCTCTGCTGACCTGCTGGTTTTCAACATCTAGCACATTAACAGACCAACACCCCTTGTACAACGTGCTCAGAGAGTTACGCTGTTCTCTGGAATGCTACATGCTAAGAACTTGGTATTTATAGCACTCCCTGCCATTCTCTGGGAGAAATAGTAAACACAGGTCAGAACTTGAGGCTGTCATTAAACATGGCTGATCAAAAGGAGCTTTCTCTCTACTTTTTCTCTTCCTTGCCCTGACCTACTGCCTTCTCCTTCTCTGCCAGGGTTCCACCACTTACATGTCACAGGAAGCCTGAAAACAAGGTAGGTTTGGGACAGCTACCTGAGTGCCTGCCTGTAGATGCTGAATACTAGAAAGCACAGAAACAGGAGAATCTGCCTATATTGAGTCAATCCGCTAGTTCTGTGCATCAGCTTCAGCAGGTACCCAAAGCCCAGGTAGAATTGGCCACCTCTGGACCATTCCTAGTGCTTCCTAAGGCAAAGTGGGCTTCCTTCCAAAGGAATAAGAACTGTCCCTGGGCTCTGCACAAGGCTTTCTCCCCTGAATCAAGGCATTAATAAATAGCATATGACCAGAAAGGGTGTCATGTCTTTTTGCTTCTCTAATACTGAAGGGAGAGAAAGATGGGAGTGGGGCTGAGCAACTGACAAATCCATCTTCTCATCATAGGTTTTCTTTTGTTTGGGATTCTCCAACCACTGTGCTTTGTAGGAGGGCAAGGATGGAACCACATTATGATCATGCTTCCAACACTACCACACATCGCCTTGGACAACGAGAGTATAAAACTGGTTTCCAAACATTGCTCCTTCGCCCATTTTCCTAAAAGTTTGCAAGTTTTGTTGCATGGAGGAAGATGTATGATGGTTTATGGACCCTTTGCATGCACCTTCCCCATAAAACAATGGGGAGGGGACGAGGGAAAGAAAAGCTAATCACTCTTACCATCTCCCCAAATCTAAAGGTCTCCCATTTTGCATACTAGTCACTGATTATTTTTTTCATGTAAAACATGCATCATTAGAGCAATAACTCTTTCCAAATATTGAAAAGTGTCAGAAAGCAACCGAAAGCACAAAAGGTCTGTTGTATCTATGCCAGTGTATCCCATCCTGCTTTTCCAAAAGCATTAGAACAGAGCTGTGGGAGTCACTTATTGTCCATAACGACTGAGCTGCGGTTGGCAGAGAATTGCTTTAGTCTCTCTGCTGGAGTCAGAGATGAGAGAATTATTGTCAGGAACAGCTCATTTCTCCTGAAGTGAAATTTACCTTGCAGAACATGAAGAATCAAAAGGCTCAGGGACACTGGATGAGATAAGCGCCCATTGTTGCTATGGTTTATTTTGGGCAACAGATCACAAATCTGAAAAGGTCGGAGTTGAACAATGGGGCTCCATCATAGAAAAATCGAGTAATCCAGGTGCATGTCCATGTAAAAATTGCAGTGAAAAAAAGAGGAAATTTGGAAGATGTGTTGTTTACTAAAATGTGCATCCTTCTTTTCAGCTGGTCACGCTGAAGGAAGTGGGTATGTTTAACCTGGAGAAAATGGAGAAAACTCTCCAAATTTTTGAATGGCTGTCACATGGAAGAGGGCAAAGGCCTTGGTATGAAGTATAATATCTTGCATAACAGCTTGTTTCCAGAGAGGCAGGGTTATAATGTACAGGCTTAAATTAAAGCATGGTTGATTATAGTTGCACCTTAGCAGAACCTCTGAACAATAAAAGCAGTTCAAAGATTGAACTAGGTATAAGCTTTTGAAATCAACATTCCAGTAGTAGGCATGGCTGAAAGAAAAAGGGGTAAACACAAAGGAGAAAAGGGCGGAGACAAAATTACCTACAAAAACAGCAAATTGTGTCTTAAAGCTCTTACTGCCAGTAAATAAGCTTTAGGAGAGACATTTCAGCCTTTTAGAATTGGGAGAAAACTCCACAAAAGTGGAAGAAAACAAAATAATCAGAAACTGAGGCAAGAACGGTGGAGCCTGAAGAATAGGAGTGGTCATTTGGGGCCAGATTGGGACCCCAGGAGAGTTAAATTTGTCCCGTGACCCTGAGGTTACCAACTCCAAGGTACCTAGTATGTGAGAGAGGGTTATCTCCCCATGCTAGAGGTCTTCAAGCAGAGACTAGATAACCTGCTGGGGATGTTCATATACAGGTTGGCTTAGAACAACCCCTTCAACTCTCTCCCTTCCAATGATCCAGGGTTTAGAAACCCTGCCCTATGGGGAGAGACTGAGGGAGCTAGGGCATGTTCAGCCTTGAGAAAAAAAGACTGAGTGGGGACATGATATCCCTCTATAAGTACCTGAAAGGCTGTCACAAAGAGGAAGGTCAAGATCTCTTCTCACTGATGCCAGAGTGTAGGACACAGAATAATCATCTCAAGTTGCGACAACCCAGATTTAGGCTGGACATCAGGAAAAGATTCCTTGCTGTCAGAGCAATACAACAGTGGAACCAGCTGCCTAGGGAGGTGGTAGGCTCTCCCACACTAGAGACATTCAAGGTGAAACTGGACAGCCCTCTGAGTGAGATGGTGTAACGTGGTATCCTGCAACAGGAGGGGGTTGGACCTGATGGCTTTCATGACCCCTTCCAACTCACTATTCTATGATTCTATGAACTCTGTGTTTCAAGCATATCCCACTACACATCTTTCATGTTTCCCAGGATAGCACCCTTAATACACTTAGCATTTTGTTTCTAATAGTGGACAGATATTACCTTTAGAGAACTCATTTGCAGGGCACGGAAGGCATGGCCTTCCCCGGTGGCCCATGCAACATTTCCATTTAGGCATTCGTATTAGTATCAGAATCAGTACCAATACCAATATTAGTGTTACCTTTGTTTGAAACTGAGGACAAAATGTTTTTCTGGCTCCTTGGATCATTACCTGGCAAATAAATCAACTCCTAGGAATTCAAAAGTTGGCTGCTTCTGTCCTGTCCTTAAATCCACTGGGATGGATTGGAAGCATGGATAAGGTCAAGGATTTTGAGTGAGGTGCAGAAGATCAGAAGTTGGGTTCCCACAAAACATGTGAACAAGTGTTAGGATCTCAAAGACATGCTGAATCAATCCATTGTGTGTTGGACTGTGTTACTTGCTGAGCTACCTGCTACGGCTCATATATTACATACTCAAAGTGGGGGGAAACAATCAAAGAGTGGGACAAACAGAACAAAAATGATACCCGCATCTAATCGAATACAGAGTAGATGCACAGCACCCAAAAGAAACAATCTGAATACTTGCATCCAAGAAGCCACTTACAGGCTTTCATCAACACATTATAATATTAATCAAGGCTCATAATGTGCAGTGATTTGCATGCCAACAAATATATTTACAGTGCAAATTGTTTGTTGAAAAGCCTTAGAGAAATATGCAATTCATTGCTATTGAGTTTGGGTAGAAGAAGAAAAAAAAACTGTGAGGGTTTTGTTGTTGTTTTGTTTTATTTTTTTCTTCTTCTTTTCAAACTGCCTCCTTATAGGCCTTGCTTTCTTCTTCTTATTATTTTGGATTTGGCAACAAAACTAATTAGCATTCCTCACAAGCTTCAGTGCTAAGAAACATAACTGGATCACTATAGCTAGGAATCCAAGAGGAATGGGAAAATATCATGTTCAGAGGCCATCTAAGAGTAGACTAACCTGATCAAAAGGAGATGCAAATGGAAAATTAGATTTTAGCCAGTGATAATTAGTTGCATTTTGCTTCCCATGCAGTTATATATTTATTTATTTACAGGTGCCCGGCATGTTCGGTTAATTCTGAAGAAAACCATTTCTCTTCTATTTTCATGCTATGGTGCCCTGACACACCACATTCTCTTGGAGTTTCTGCTTAGTTCTTGGCCTGTCTAGAATCTTGGTTATGCCATCAAGCCAGCCTGAGGATACATGACCATTTTATTTGCATTGGCTTAAAGCCAGAATATACCCTGTCTCTAATTTTGCTGGCAAAAGTTTACACATCCCTGAGTTTGTGAAGCTAGTTTGAAAAATGCATGCTTTCAAAAAATGCATGTTTGGAAAAAATATGCATTTGCATGCTTTAGTTAATGGGGAGGAAACATACATTTGGGTGTACACTTCAAAGAAAAAGCACAGTACACATAAATGAATACTTTTCCTGAGACGGCGAGGAGCTTGTACTTAGGAAAGCCAATGAGGCAGGCAGTGTTGTGAGGAATTTGGAGAAGGATGTGAAGCTTCACCCTCAATGGTTTCTGCATCACTGCATGTGGTATTCAGGTATTATGAACAGTGAAACTGAACTCTTCATGCTGTTGCAGTTAACAGACTTACACATTTGATAAACAAACAGGACACGCATATAGCTCAGGGTTCAAACACATGCATTGCTTATACAAGATGCAAGGCTGATCAGCTAGTGGGTGATGCAGAAAATCTTCGCTGAAACTGTTGCCTATCTGAGTAGACAATACTGGACTGCAGCCAGTGGGAGGGCAGTGGGCCAGTGTGAGAGGCTGGAAGTTTCGCCTGGAGATTTGGGGGGTCCTTGAGTCCCTGCTCCACCAGAAAACTCATGGAATGACTCTGGGCCAGCCAAAGTTGTTGTGGCTGCTGTTGTGAGGATGAAATAGGCAAGAGGAAACCCATGCAAGTGGCCTTGGATTCCTTGCAAGAGGAAGAAGGGCAGGGTATAAATAAATACAGTGTTGTAATAGTAATCATAATATGCGGATAAATATTCTCATTCAGCGTAAGGCAGCTCAGGGTGATTCAGTTCCATATTGCTCTGCTGACTTCATTTTTAAACAGAGAAAATGATGTTCAGTGAAGGCAATTTGGGCTGGAATTAAGCCAATTCAGTGTGTAATGCAAAAAGATATTACAGAGGTGCATCCGTCTACGGCCTGTGTTTTTGAACAGAGAATATGATGCATAATTAAGCCTACAGCGGATACTAATATCCATGCAATTAGGGGCAACAATGATGATATGGATCCACTCATATCCACTCCTGCAGAAGCGTTCTGAATATATGATGGTCTTGCATGGAAGGTCAAAATGCCTGTTAAGAATAAGGAGACCAATGCTGGACATGTTTAGTTAACACGCTTCTATAGTAATTCTGAAATGTGGGAAATCAGATTGCTCTGAACCCAAGACAAAGACTGTAGAGAGGAATCACTTTGAACAGTTTTCCTTTGGGAAATCCCATCTGAATTTGAGATGTACAGAGAATCTTGTACCTAACTAGGTTGCAATGCAGACCTTGTCTTGGGTTCACATAAAACCTCAATGGCTACCTCACATATCCCTTGCTTCTCCTTCACTTTGAAATCTGGGGAAGCATGGAATGTGGCAACGCTGGGCAACAGACAACTCCATCAGACATAGGTAGAGCAGTTTATTCCTTGTCCATGCCAGTTTTGCATCATACTGAGCTCAAAATCTCTTCCCACCTTTTTGGTCCCATGACTGTTCTGCAAACATACAGAGGGAGAGATTTTCTGCTGGTTTGGTGGGAGAGGAAATGCATTTAAGATATTTTCAGGGGTGGCTGACCTAGCTGTATAATATAAAGCCATGGAAGGTTTTCTTACCATCACCTTTCTTTAAATAACAAGGTTAATCATCACTTGAAGTGGCAGTGGAATGCTAATCAACAACCCACCACCTGCTTCTGTTCTATATAATGCCCGTGGAACATCATTCCCAGAGGCATTGCTGCTAATCACAGAATGCTATGTGTTTTGTTACTGTTACTACCTACAGCACAGCTGGGACAATGCTTCCCTAGGGTATTTGGTATCTACCTATTCCACAGGAGCATGTGGTTGCCACCACTGGCCATCTCCAGGAAGAAGACGGCTACCCCAGTCATCATCATCATTGCCAACAATGCAACTTGGAATAACAATGCATAGTAACTCTGCCATATTCCTGTCTGGACACCTTGTATTATAGAAGAAGCTGGCTGACCTTTCACCACCCATTCAATGAACTGCAAATTCTAGCCTGGTGGTTGCTTTATACAAACAAGCAAAGCTTGCATGGCCCAGTAAAGGCCCATTCCTCAATGTGACTGCAACCACCATTCACAGAGCTTCTGTGCAGCTGCCCAGTCATCACTTCCCACTTTGCAATTCTGTATGTTACAAGCTCAAAGGCTCCGAAGCCTTCAAGGCCATCTCCATTAACCTCTATTTATCCATAAATAAACAATAATAAAGAACCTCTCAGTCACTGATCAGCTAGAGCCTTTCCTTGCAAGACCTCAGAAGAGCACAATATGAAATTAGAGCACTTATCTCAGCTTGTTCTACTCCTCACCGGAGGGCAAGGAGTGTTGATTAGTGAAGGTGTAGAAAAGAATTAAAATGCAAATGATTTCTCTAGTTGGCCAAGTTGTTATTAACAGATGTGTGGATCTTCTGGCATGGACTCTAATCAACACTTCCAAGCTAGCAATTTCTTTGCAAAGCCAAACTAGCAGACTTAAGGAAAGCAAAGAAGAGACTAATGGATACTCCATTCAGTATCTTTATGCCAGAGAAGGATAAAAATGGTACACAGTCAGATTTGGTACAAAGGCTTGTTGATAACAGAGAGAGAAATAAAGTGGGTAACTGTTTGGCATATTCAGGTTTGGCCAGATAAAAGACTGACATTTCTCGAGGGGGAAGGAGTCACAATTATTAGGGACATGTCCAACATTCTCTTTACCCAAATCTCTCTTTGGTAATTTGGCATTCCAAATAACTGAAGCAAACAGCATGACTGGAATTAATTTGGAATTTGGCATTTCAAATCACCTGATCTTGTTTCCAACATGGAAGTAACCAACTCCTATGTTGTTTTTCGTGCTGAATTCCAAATTTTTTACAGGGTGCTCTGCACATGATAACAGCTTTCAGCTCCTTATATTTGTTTGTCTATTTATTTCTGCAGTACAAATGTGCATGTGCAACATAATTTTACACACACACTACCAAGAGAGAGCAAAAATGGGAAGAGAGAGGATTCTTGATGCAATTGTACATATGATCACAACTATTTTTGTGTGGTTGTTTACCAATGCACAGGAGTACATCTATGTATCAGTAGCACTGTGCACAAAAATAACATGAGAGCAAAGATGTGCCAGAGCTTATGTGAACAGGCAGGTATGCTGGAAGTTAAGAAAAAGCACTGGCTTTATTGGAACAGGACTATAGAAACACATCTGTGTGCGCCAGACTGCAAGAGAGAAAG